TTTTTTTTTTACATAATTTGTGGTTCTAAATTTTTAAAAAATCAGTCAGGCAGTTTCATTACTGTATTAACTTAAGTCACTTACCAACAATCTGTATAAAAACACATTTGATACATGACATAAACACATTTAAACCATTAATTTGTGGTTGCTTGCTTTAAAATATAATGTAACATACACATATGGTTTATGTATAAATATACCATATATATACATAAACCATATAAGATGTGCCTTTTATAGTGAAAATCCTTTTATTATATGATAGATAGATAGATAGATAGATAGATAGATAGATAGATAGATAGATAGATAGATTCATCACATTTTTAAAGAAGTCATTCTGATGTAAATTTTACGTAGGCATTGACCTACATGTGAGGCCTGTGTGGAAGAGACAGGTCAACAAGTTATATAAAGATTTTTTAACAGACATATAGATCGTATTTAGCGTCAAACATACATGGCAACACAGGACTTTCATATATGACCACTAGGTGTCAGGGTTGATTATCTATTTCCTTTTTTTTTTTTTTACCCAACTGTCCTTTCGTCCAATACTTCTGATTGGCCCAACAAACTTTCCCCTAACTACTTTGTAGTAATTTATATGAATGTAATGCACTCTCTTCTCTCTCACGCCTTCTACTGATAGCTTCCATGTGAACTTGCAAGCTGCATGATGGGAAATGTGAAGAGAAGGCGCAATGTGGAACAGCCAAAGCAAATATACATGAAGATGGGGCTCTGTGTCCGCGCGCGTGCACGTGTGTGTGTGTGGGGGGGCAGTCATCTGCATATGAGGTAGTATGTGTACAGTTTAAGCAGAGATCATCTGTGTGGTTGATGCTAGAGTAAACAGCTTCATTTCCCTAGCAACACCAAATTAAAGGGCCAGAGTCTCTTGTCCTTCGTAGAGTCTCCCACACATTTTTTTTTTAATCCAGAGCCAAACTAAACTTTATTTTCTGTAACTATTCCTCCCTAATGTCACTAAATTATTTATCCAAGGTGTCTGGCTCACCTTTTTGGCATAGTAATCAGGAATGTGGCCTCTTATATGTGTCAAATTAAAAGAAGTTACTTCTGTCAAATAGCAACTTAAGTTTAAACCCAAATCCAAAAGCAATCATACGGCTGTTTGAGAAAATCTAACTTGTAAGAAATCAGAAACATTTTTTTTAACACAGTGATCTGCACACACTTCATTTTTCAGATTTACATTGTGGTTTTCTATTAGCAAAAGGATTTTCCTACACTGTCATGGCGCTGTCTTATTTTCTTTGTGCTGATCACGACAAGGCGGTGCACTGTTGCCTCACAGCGAGGGGGCTCGAACCTTCAGGTCGGCTGGCCTTCTCTGTTCCACACTCGACATGCTTGTCAGGTGTAAGTGTGATTCCAAATTGGCCGAAGGCGTGAATATGAGAGTGTGTGGTTTCCTCTCTGTGTGTTAGCCCTGTGACTGACTGCCAACATGTCCATGGTGTAGCCTGGATTTGATTGGCAACTAGTAAAATGGTTGGACTGAATGCTTTTATTAACAATTTCTAATCAATCAGTAATTTGATCTTATTATCCTCTCACTCTTGTCAGTGAGTCTATATTTTTCATTTTTCATTACAATGACTCATATGAGGTATCGAATGGTGTGTAAATGCAGAATACAGTTGTGATGTAATGCTGGCAATGTCTCTTGATGAAGCGCTGGCACACCAGGGGTTGTAGAGTGTTTCGTGTCTGCAGTGGAAAGATGTGAGAGAGGGTGGGGGCTGCCGGAAGTGGTGGGTGTGTGTCTCCCTGTGTGTGTATGTGTGTGTGTGTATGAGTCTGTAAGTGTGGGTGCCTGCGTGCCCGTCGTGTATGTGTATGCGTGCAGAGTTCTGATTGTCGGTGCTGCACCACGGTGCAGGTGGAGCAATGCAGGATGACAAGAGACACGGAAGGACAGAGAGAGAGAGGGAGGCAGGGAGGTTGTGAGGGAGGCAGACAAGAGAAATAGGGAAAGAGGTGAGGAGGCATGATGCAGGAGGAGAGGAGAGAACAGGAGGAGGAAAGACCATGAATACAGATGAGAAAAGCGGGGGAAGCTGGGAGCTTTTGCAGGTGAATTTCTGACACCGGGGAGTTTCTCCGACCCAATCAAGTGTCGATCTTTTCTGCCCCCCCATCTAATTTTTTTTCCTCTCCCTCTCATTTCTGCCTCTCTCTTTCTCTGGCCTCCCCCCACTGGGACACTGGAAGGTGGGAGGAGATGACTTTTTAGAGATGACTGGAGTGCAGAGGGAGGAGGGACAGATGGGGGAATACGCTCGCTGGAAGTAGAACAGTGTGTGGAGCAGAATTAAAATGCCGGGACTGGGGTCCAAATAAAAGAGAATAAAAATGGCTGGAGGATGAAAGTGAGGCAACTGCAATGGGACCCACATCTCGAGTAGTGAGAGAGACAGAAATGAAAGGAGCAATGTGTAGGAGAGACAGACAGGAAAACTCAGAGTAAGACAGACTGGGGGCCAGAGGCTTGTGTGACGCATATTTGCTGGCACTAGATGTTTGGAGACTATCCATTTCAACTGTTTTTTTTAATGTATAATTCACAAAAAGAAATAGAAGGAGTGACAGGGGAGTGATGAGCGAACAGACAATATGAGTACATGGAGTGATGTGTCAACAGAGCAGCCAAACAGAAGACAGTGAATTTTAAACAAAGAGATAGGAGGTAGAGTGTGACAAAGGCTGAAGCAGGGAAAGCTCACTGACTGCGTTTTACAACCTTATACAATCAAAGCTGTATTAAAAATATTAATCACATTTCATACCTCAAAGAACAATACTTCTTAATTTCTTATTGCACACTGTGTCTGTGTTAGCCTGACCCAGTTCTTCGCTGAAGTTGGGTGAAACGGTCAAGCCCTAAATTATATTAGTGACCAAACTTTGGCTTCAGATGAAAACTATGTGTCTGATTTCTTGTGTTCTTCTCTTGTTCTTGTGTAAATGTGGTTGGGATTGCTGTAGGCTCTGTGTATCTGATTGATGTTTGGCGCCAGATGCACATTGCACTGTCACAGAGCACCACTTGTAGCTGTCTGCACGGGAACAATGGTCTACAGGTAAACATAACAAATGGAAATTGATTGTGCAGCATGACCTTGTAATGACTGACCCACGTCAGTGATTGTTAACAAATAAAATCTAGGAAATCTCTTTTTGTATCTGATTTTCAGACACATGGAAAATCCTGCGTTGCTTTTACTAAACAATGCATGTCAGGCAGACATGACATGTGGTCAGTCTGTAAGCTTCCAACATATGGAATCATATGCCAGCTGAAATAGTCCCTGTGATCCAAGCATTAAATTCCAGTCATCTCCACGCTTAACTCATGCAAACAGATGTGCTCACTCCAGCACCGGCACTCCCCTTCGACACACCCGTGTGCGCACAAATGGCTGCCTACACATACACACAGCTGGCACTGCACATTAATTACATTCAGCATATGACTTTGGCGTAATGGCGGGAAAGTTTTGCGTGTGTCACTGTCAGAGTTGCAGCTGATGAAAAGAGATGGCATGCGACTTTGGGAGCTTATCGCCTCAGGGCACGGGTTGCCCCGCACGCTTTTGGCACACAGAGACCTAATCCTGGGAACGACCTTGCTGATGCCGATGCCGATGCCGTTACGGGGTTAGTTGATTTTGCCTGGGCAATTTGAATCGACTGCACATTACTTCCTCTGATTCACGCAACATTTAAAACTGAAAAAGAAAATGCACATTTTTCAAAGTTTCTGAGTAGGAATGGGTTCACACTGTGTGTCACTGCTTAGGTGAACGCGCATTTGTGCGAGAGTGGGTGGATGTGGAGTTGCCACTGTGTGCGAGTGTGGCTTTGTGATCTCACAAATCTTGTAGGCAAGAAGATGTGGGGGCGAGAGGGGTTTCACTAATAAACACCCACTCCTTCCAAAACCTCCATCTCACTCTGACACACACACATACACCCACCACACCGCTACAAACACCCTCCTCCTCCTCCTCCCCAGCTTTCCTTTGACAGAATCCTCATTACAGGCACGTTTGGCAGCACCGAGTCTTCCTCTCTCTCTCTCTCTCCTCCTCTCCTCTCCTCTCCTCTCCTCTCCTCTCCTCTCCTCTCCCTCCCCATCTCCATCTCTGCACTCCCTCTCTGTCGTTTTCATTTGCTCATTCTCTCTTGCCCTGCTCATTGCGTTCGAGCCAGCTTGGCAATCAAAGGGAGAGAAAACACAAATGAGAGCGAAGGGGGCTTGAGGGGGGGGGTTGAGTGAGGATGCTCACTGGGATTTCAGTATGAGTCAGAATGGGAGAAGGGGAGGTGGGAAGGCGAGGTAGGCGGTTGTGAGGAGAGAGAAGGAGAGTAAGGGAGGGATAGAAGAAGGTCTTTCTTTTTTATAAATTTCTTTTTCTCTTATCTGTCTGCATTCTCTGTTTGGAATACAGATGAGGAGATAGAAAGACAGCCAACAACTGGGCATGACAAACAGATGAGAGATTTGAGCAGGAAATGATCTGCATCCCGATTTGTGATCAAGTTTGGAGATAAGAGCGAGCTGCCTGTGCACTGATCGCTTGATGATAGATCCAGAAGCGTCTGATAGGAATTTATAGCATGTAGAAGATGAATATATCATCCGGAGCACAATTTGAAATCATCTGGATATCATTTTTAAATGATGAAAAGATAAGAAAGATATCATGATGCAACTGATGTGTGTGTGTGTGTGTGTGCGCGCGCACATGCGCGCGTGTTT